TGCTGACCTTCCTAGGACCAAAATTTTCAAGTGACATATAAAATAAAAGAATTAGTAGTGAATTATATGTTAGTTTATAAGTTGAACTGGCTGGTGGGTGCTAGAGTACAGGTTCAAACTGATTTGAGGTTAGGTGGCACCATAACGTCTGTCATTGAAAAGATACGATTCCACGTCTAGACTGTCTTACAAGACGAGCTTGACAACTAATAAATCAAATAGATCTCATAACATGGTTGGCTGGGGCTATAATAATTATAACTGCTCATAGAGAAAAGTGGTTGAGGTTACATTATAAGAAGTTACATAAGTGCCTCTAATTTTGTAATAGGCACCACTATGAAGGATTTATTTAGTTCCAGTGCTTATTATAACAATCGTATTTTGCGAGTCTCGAGTTGCATCTTTGGAACACAATTCATAGATACCGTGATCCCCCCAGGCAACCGACCCAAGAGCAAGTCAGGACTGTAAATTATTAATGTCAAAATCCTAAGCGGTTTATTGGGGTCGCCAAATAAACCCATCAAAAGTCATTTGGTTAATGTCCCCGGTTCCAAAACTGGAAATATAAATTCGGTTTACGTTATTTAGCATTAGCCAGCTCCGCTTGGAGAACGTGCAACCGTGTAATTAGCATTTAAGGCTTAAATTTACTTAGTCGCTTCGGCCCTTCGTACAAGTCAAAATGTAAACAGCGAATTTGTCATCACTGTAAAAACTCTTTTTGTGCGTACACTTATCTCGTCCTTGATTCGAAGTCGCATTCCCCCATTTCGGGTAATGGCTTATACATACCTAAACCGGCAGAGAAGCTCGGAATCGCCGCTTTCCACTTTTTTCCGTCTAACTGCAGTCGATGGCGGAGTACCGGGCGACTGCGCCCGAGTTGCCGCCCTGCCCAGCCGACTGCACTCCGCCCCAGACGCTCAGCGGAGCTCAGCGAACACGTTGTTCTTTGTTCCGCGTACCGTTCAGCCACAGTGTTCCACCTTTGCCAGTGCTGGTGCTTTGTGACCCCGGCGGGCAGTGCTGTGATGTTCAGTGCAATCGCCCCGAGGAGGCGACCGTGTAAGTAGTGCCCGGAGGTGTGGGACTGCCGTTGGCGGCGCGATCGATAGCGGGCAGGTGGTCGGCGGCGCCCGTGCCGCCCCCGGACCGCGGATTAATTAGACGCGCGCCCCCATGCACGTGACCCGTGCCCGGATTTTTCCGGACACACGTAAATCTCCATTTTGCTCAGCGAGATTAATGGAGCGCGACGAGCTGCTTCCGCGGAGAATCGAATAAATTAAGCGCAGACGGCGGCTTCGAATTGCAAATTGGGATCGGCTACGTGCACTCGCTCCCCTCGACTAAATTATGGCTTTGTTTGATTGCGGGATTGCCAACGAGCACCTGTCCGGATCGCAGAAGACCAATCGATGAACACTTAAGCTTCCATATATTCTGGAACGGGTCGCCAAATGCCAAAACTTGGCATAGATTTGTTTTAAATGGGGCTTTTATGTGCGACTAATCCTAGATTATTGACAGACTGTTGCGGAAACGAGGTCGCTATTTAAAAAAAAAGTCAGTAGTCGGGTTCCTAACACAGACGTGCCTAAACATATCAGTGACAGGTGTATACCGAACGGAGCATCAGCGGATTGTTAAAATGAATGAATCGGAGTGTGTCACATGAAAAAAATGGAGGCTTTTAACTCACTAATTTTATGACTTGGAACGTTATCCATAATCATTACCAACTTAGATCCAGCTTGAATTAGCTGATCGTTTATCCACATTTTGAAAAGGTTTGTATGTATTCGTGATCGGTAATGACCGTCGTTTGTAGGTGGTCTCATCACGCAAGATTCCCGCGTGAAGAATGGCAGATATTTTCCTTTCACAAAATTTTGGACGAACTGGTTTGCGTAATCCCACTATGCTTTCACTGACGAAAATGTCGTTCCATCAAGAGACAAAATTATTTTAAAAATGAACACACCAAAGAGAGAAATTTTAACCTATTGGCATATCAGTACCGAAAAAGGACTTTGGATACGGCTTGTAACATGCGATCAACAAACGACGTCAAGTAATCGCTCGATGTCGGAATGCTAATCGTAGGTTGTAACTACCCCGGTATGCACGCACTCACGGTTATAACATTTACAAGAAAAATATTTTGATCATAGAATACCTACGTGACGTGGTTTTTGGTCGATCGCATGTTATTTCCGGAGTTCTCCGTTTTTCGATAAATTCCCGGAAAAGAAGACCCATTTCGAAACAATAATAAACATCATTCTTGGCACGTGGGTAGTCTGTGGTCGGTAGTTTTGGAGGATAATTTACAACATTAGTCATCATTCGCTTGGAATTCTTTCTTTTGTTGTAGTTTTTTAAAGATAAGCCGCACCACCGGAAGGCCTTCATTCCACGATATTCGGTGTCTATTACGTGGTACCTACTTTGGAATTCTCGGTGATAGATAACGCAAGTAGCACTCAATTGTATACAGAAGCCAAATAACCTTACACTTTTAATAATAATGCGCTTCACATGACGAAAACACGATTTGCTATCTGTTTCACACGAGGTCGAAGTTCGCTGAGGTGTATGTATTTATCAGACAACGACAAATCGGTTGCTTGTATGTGCGTGACTCAAAAGCTATTGGAAACGTTTCATAAGAGAATCAACGCAAAAGAACCGGAACACTTCTGCTGGGGAATTAACTGAGATTGACCTTACTAAAAAAGACGCATCGAACAAAATTCAGTCATCAATTTTTTTTTTACCCGAAAACAAGTTGTCCCTTGAAACAAAGTACCGGTTTGACAATAGACCGTTGCTTTCCAAAGGCGCCATTATTTTGGTTTTGTTAATTGAGCCTCCCGGAGCCCATTTTGGTTCCGACTAAATCGCTGTTTTTGTTTGATGGCGACATTGTCAACGACCCTCCCGCCTCAAGGAATTAATTAAAAAAGCAATTGTAGATACGGATTAAGTGCGGCTAAAGCGACCTCGTTTTTTCCAGTTCACGCATTTTGGAGCATTATGGATTATGCAAATTCGGGATCATTTATCACCGACCGGTTTTTCGAGCTGTGACCTTCCTCTGACCCAAACTGCGGACAGATTAAAGTGGTTTATTTTTTACGTTTTGTGGTATTTTATTCAAGTTACCTAACATTCGATCAATTATACAGGCATCCAACGAATTGGTCTACAGCGAAGGTCATGAAGTATTCAGACTTGTGAATAATTAACTAGGATTCGGATGCCGACGAATCCAGGCCAAAATCAATTTGCGAAATTGAAGTAGTGAGACCAGTATAGACATAAAACTGGTAGCGAAAGCGTCATAGAAATGATATGTGCTGTTGGTTGTTGATAGGTTGTGCAACGCGCGGTGGATTAATGAGAGAGTAAGGTCAGTACGAAGCTCATTTCTGGTATGCGATAAATCATCGTGCGGTAAATTATTCTTTACCATTGTGTTTAATTAGCACTTCGGTCAGTATATAATTATGCTATTCCGTGTGTAATTGTTCAGTAACATCGTTGCCAAAAACGGTAAACAGTACCGGTCTCACTGTGGAACCTTGTTGCGAATTTTGCCGCATTTGAGAAAAAACACCGACTATCATTGACGAGGTGGCGTCAAAGGAATTCCAAGCGTACTTTCTGTTTTTTTAATAAGTTGACATTAAATATAAACGAGCACATGGTTCAACTGCCGCCCACAACAACCTTGACAGCTTTTTAATTAATCACGACGTGAATATTAAGGTAGAGAATCCCATCCACGGCGATTTGTTTCAATCGTACATATCAAGGACACTCACTCTGACTCGTCTAATTACCGTCACCGCTTTCTGCCTCCAATTTATTTACGCACGAGGTCATACGAGTTCATTCAATTTTGATGATTTCGCTTGTAATTAACGACTCGCCCTAAAGCGATAACATCAAGGGAACGAGGGTATAGACCCTTTGCGACGAATTTCCGCTGTCGGTTAACGCTGAAATTTCATAACAAAACTTCGGACTATTCTACCCAACCCAAATTTTCGAAAGGAGAGATAATTAGAATTCGTTTAACAAACAAAGACTTATAAACTGGTTTCGCAGATTTATGCAAAAAAGGAGAGAAGTCGGCAAGGTGAAATTCTGTTATGTAAAAGAATCACGTAATTTTTATGGCCAACAGCCTTCGTCTAAGCGCCTTAATGATCGCAGATGCATACGTGCAGATGTTTGAGATGTTGCAAGTGCTGCCAACCTCGTGGCAGGTTTTTGCCTCAGACTCGGTTGAAGGAGTCATGCGGAAATCGTGCACACATCTCGAGTCGTCAGAAATAAAAGGTCGCCCAAATTAGTCTAAAAACGTAGTTTAGGACCATTCAAACTTGCGAGGATTCACACATCTGTTGAATTAGTGGACGTCTAAGTCAACAAAAATACTATTAGGGGCATGAGGATTTTACACAACTGTTGGTTTTTGCGAGCAGCCCCTGCCAAATCCGCAGTCGTAAGTTGGTATTTTATTTACGACTTGGTTCAGCTTGCCCCATTTTTTCGGTGTATTGTAATAAATCTGGAATTGTGACTTTCCCTACCGTAATAAGTCCCATAAACCATCGGTGTGCCGCTGATAAAACACGTTTGAATACTGATTTGTTAATGGTAGAAAAACCAACAGTTGAGTCGGGTTTTCCAATCCTTTGATATATGTTTTGAGCTCCCTAATAATAATAGTGTTGACTTTGTACTAGTGAGACTATTAAATAACAAAAGGTCCAACGCGACTAATACTTTCTCTTTCAAGAATGTCTTTGTGTTCGAGGGATGACAAGCTTTAAATCGACCACGTTGTTTATCTAAAGTGAAGAGCATTTCCTTTTACTATTTTATAGCGTCGTTTCTATTTCGATCACTGAGTATCTAATTAAGTTTAACAAAAGCACACTTTCTGCGGCGAGACTAATTAGTGGATTATTGCAATCTAGAGCCGCGTGGTCCGAGGATTATCAGTGCCCTCCGGTTCAGCGACAAGTGTCAACGGCAGGAAGCAGCGATCTGGAAGGCCCCCTTTGGAAGTCGCCGCCAACGGAGGAACATCGCCGGAACCGCTCGATAAAGGTGAGTTAACAGTTTGTATTAAAATTTCGTGATCGTGCTCGACTGCTACCATCGTGATGGATGACTTCCTGACCCGCGTCACAGTTATTGTCTGGAGAGTTTCTTCTGACCCTGAGTCTGGGGTCAGGCGAGATGCTAACTCAGTCACTTCGATCGCAATTAAAGACAAAATGGCCGCCGCCGATCGTGTTCAGTGAAGCGTGTGCTGTTGTTCCCACAACTCTTCCTATTCACGCTTTTAATGGACGTTTACGAGTATTTTTACTGATCCCCTTTCGAAAAATAAAGAATCGGGGTGGAGGATCTAGGGCCAGATGCTCGCGCAGCGGGAGGTAACTAGGGATCGAAGTGCTTGTTGAAAATATATGGCCTCTTTTATTACATTTTAGAACGGTTGTCTGTCCTCGTCTCGGCGCCTCACGATCATCCGCAAAAAGAGGCTGTTTTTGCCCCTAGGAGGGGAAGCACTTGTTTAATGTGGAGGCATTGAAAAGTTATTTCGGGGAAGTTGACCCAAGGCAGGTTGAATCAACATGTTCGGTGGAACAAAAACGGTTTCTACTTAGTTGCAGACAACAAAGTTACTTGGTTTGTTTTTATGTAACAAGGTGAACAAAAACTGGCTGACACTATTTAGACAGCTTATCTTGCAAATAATTGTGTGCCGAGTCATTAACCTGGCGTCCGCGCGATTCAAGGTAGGGAGAATTCAAGCAGGTAATTAAGAGTGCTGTAAACACGCATATTAAAACATCCTGATCTTTTTTGCCCGGGTTTATTAACGAGTTTCTTGAAATGGAACGGAGTATTTTGTCTTGTCATAATTGTATGTTACCAGGGCAGAATTTTATGTTATCACCCGGTTGGGAATAATCTGATTTTATGACCGAAGTCGCTAATGACCAATCAGGTTTTTATGACTCTCAACAAAACTATCAAGGTCAACCAATTCCAAAGGCCCACCAAAGAGACATCGTATTTCTGTCTCATTACGATACGTGTTTATGGCGTTATAAATCTTGCACCTATAAAATGATTTCATATATAAACAAACATAAACGAGATTTTAACGCAAGTATTTAAATAAATTTTGGCAACCAGGTGAAACCTGTCGTTTTTCATGTAGACATCACACACTAAAAGTACAAAGAAAGAAATTGACCTTGTGTTGTTGTTGGTATACAACTTTTTTAAGATACCCTCGAATGTATTGTAATTTATATACAGGTGGTCTGTTTGCAAATCGTCCCATCTCCATAGGGAGACGTGTGTTTTATTTTGAGCTGGCTTTCTTTGTTGGTGGGTTCCTTGGTGCCTATCCTAATCCCTTTGTGTAGGCATAATAGTCAGTATAATGGGATTACTTACCACTTACCACCGTTATCTGCCTTTCCAAGAAACTAATTGTTGAGGTGGCAATGTCGGTCCTGAATCAGACGTTAGATCACATTCTACTTCGGGTCGTTGTCATTTCGCAGGCCAGATTTAATTAAATTATCTGGCAGATTAAAAGAGATAATGTGTTGAATGCTTTAGAAAGCTCACGTTTGAAGAAATAACACTTGAACTAAATGTCACTATCAGTTAATCTCCCAGATCAGATGTTTCATCAGACTATGGATCTGTGTTTCAAAATGTAATCCGATGGGTTCAACAAGGAAAAATTTATCGATTGCAATGCACAGGAGAGTTCTAAAACAAAATGTCAGATAATCTGATCGATAAAGATGACGCACTCGTGCTGTGATTAGTAGTAATGTATACGATCCACTTTGTTCATATCTTGGAATTTAAGGCCCAATCTCATTAACCGCCGCCCGGCGTTTTGTAATTAGGTCGAGCGCTGAGTCCCTCTTCTCGCTCTGTGATGTACTTTAACCAGAATTATGTCGATTTGATGATGTGACCCTCATAACTAGGCATTAGCCCTTTTATAATTGCTGATCGTAGATAGCAACTAACACAGTTGGCAAACCTTGAGAGGATCCACTCGATATCCGCACCGATGTTAAAATAAAGAAGAAATAAACGATTTTGTCACGGACCAAAGGGTTTAATCCTTCAGTAAACTCATTACGACGACTTAATCGCCATTGGTTGTCCTCTGAATCAATTTTTCTCGTTAAGTGACGTTAATTGGGGACTAAAATTCCGTGGAAAGTACAAACCTTCAGCTTCCTCTAGTCTTTTTCAAGATTATGCCTCTCGTAAAATTGAAAAATCACATATCCCGGTAAATTGCCTCCTGGCAGGTATAGTATCGTCGACACGTCGTACGTGTTTTGCACACAAAGCCCTTGCGTATCGAACGCCGGTAAAAAAGTGAACCGCTAATAAAACGGCGCATTTGCCGTGATGGATGCGGACGTGGCGATCCATAATCTCCGTGATGGATGTGGTAATTGTGTGGCATCGGTTTTACGGCTCCAATGACATCCAAGGTCAAGACACTTGGGAACGCTCCGAGCACGCCATGTGCTTACCAGCGCTGCCAACCTTTCAATGATACTAGACTGACATGTCCACTTTCGACATACGGAACCAATTTTGTATTTGCTTGGCTAATAATGACATCATGTTTTGCAATATTCATGCAGTTGACGGTCGTGGTTTTATTTTCGACCCGTCAACTGTTCGTGTCATTGATAGATGTCTTAAAAATTTAACTTCTGAAGTTTTAGCAAACATCGGGCCGAAAACATATTCGAAAGATAGAACTTTCACCGTTGTCAAAACATTTTTGTTTTAACAAGACAATAGGGTCACGAGTATGTGCTAAACATTTCGTTGACGTCTGTAGATACTTTAGTCCGGATTATACAGATTAAAAATACAACGGTTAAAAATTTACCATATTTGATTGTTTCGTTTATTATTTAGGGTCTCCTGCTCCAATATTGTTCGAAAGTTCGCATGTTTTTGTGCCGTGATGTTGGCAACGCCGTGCCCACCACGGGGACGATTTCTTGCTCGTCGCTCGGAACAAGGCGGCGTGCGTGACGCGCACTTGTCTGCCGATCGTCGTTTGTTTGGCTTCCGGCCAAGCCGACGCGATGCTCAAACATCAAACTGTACGATTTATGCGTTAACTACCGGAATTTCCTTTGACTCTACAAGAGGTGGAGGCTGCCAACTCTGTGTTTATTTATAATGCAATAGGGCTAAGGAGAGAGAAAGAATGAAAAAATAACTCGACGCCCACAAGCCACGATAATTAAAACGCTATAAATAATAAATAGGTTTCCGTGGTGCAACCGGATGCCAGATGGATTTTTCGCGCCCCGAACAACGTGTTTGTTCGTTGGCGGGGAAATTTCTTTCTTTCTATGGTTAATTTAGTCGGAAGGACGAGGTGATTCATTATTTAAGGCATGTCCGGATCGAAATTTTCAACGCTCCCTTGACGACGCAATAATTAAGTTTTGTTTTTGTGGTATTACGTTAAATTCTGAGTAACCATTATTACGGACGCCGACTTCCAAATATTCGATTGGTTGGAGTAATTGACAACCAAGCTGATGGACAGAAATTGATTAGAATGCCTAATTTGCCTTTGTGTAAATGGAATTTATCAACGTGGTGCTAGAAATACACGTCGTTGCCAAAAATTAACATACTAATTATTCAAATTCATGTATCCACCTTTGACCACCAACCGCTAAATTTCTTAGAAATGAAAATTTTGACCTTGTTTGAAAACACTATCTACAAGCGTTATTTATGGTGGATTCTACTTTACTTTCAAATATTTTTAAACTTCCTGCAGTCTGTAAAAATAATCTGATCGAGATTGACGTTCTTGTTGCCATTTTTTTTACAATTGACAAAAAATTTGAAGTTCTAAGAATCTATAGCACTTTCGGGAAACATTGACACCCTTGTTTTTTCAAATATGTTTTTCTTGCATTTTATTGCTGTTGCATTCGTCATACATCTATTTAGTTCACGCTGGTTTTGGTCACTGGAAAACCCCCATCACCATTTTTGAACCGCAAATTGTATTGAATTTCTCAGTTGATTTATTATGGGGTGGTCGAATTGAATAGGACACCCGCTGTCGAGTAAATGTAAAGTACCACGGATGGCGTATTAGATTTAAGTGTCGCTTACACATACATTTGTTTGCCAAGCAAGCCTCGAAAACGCAGAAAGAGATGCGTCGAATATGCGTTCACCAAATTTTATTAGCAGCAAACACGTTTCAACTGAGTTAATAAAATCATAATCGTGTCTAGTCCTTACCACACTATCATTGGCAACCTATATTTTGAAGCTCATAAATTACAAGTTCTTCAGTTGCCTTTCCCTGTTGCTTTAGCAGGTTAAGAAGCGTTTGAAGGTTCGACTACGAAGTTAGACTAGGTTATAAATTGTACCTGCAGATTTCCTACCTTCATTGAGTAAAACCTCTCACATTTGCAGCATACCAAAGCCACTGTTTTGATAGAGCTTCCGTTTATTAACTACACACTCGTCGTATCCTTATATGGTAAAGTAAAAGGTCTCTGTATCTCTTTTAGTCTTTGACAAAACAACTGGTATATCTGTAATTCTGATGATATGAACCATGGGAAAATAATTTAATCAACCCTGGAGAGATAAATTTTGCATAAATATAAAATATTACGTATCGCATTTAAAAGCCCGCAGTAAACACGACATATAGAATTAATAAACCAATTACTGCTCTTATTATGTTCACAAATTGAGCGGCAACATTAAGTCTCCCGTTCCTAACTCTCCGCTAAGAGCATCGTCGATTTTCGGCTCCAGTCCCCGCCCCTGAAACACTACCTGCCATTACGCCACCCCCAATCAATCGCGCGCGAACGTGACCGAAATACATTAAATACACCATCTGAAAATATTCCAGATACGCAATCTTCATGCCTCGATCTTATCTCACTTGATGAATAGAACGCCAACGTAAAAAACCCATCCCGAAATCGAGACGGATGAAAGCTTTTACGTTCAACTTCCTCAGGTAACGCGGCCGACAA